GTCATGCAATAAAATGCAAATTAATTACTTAAAAAAAAAAAAAATACAATGTGATTTTTCTGGATTTTTGTTTTAGATTCTGTCACTCACAGTTGAAGAGTACTTGTGATCAAAATTACAGACCTCTACATGCTTTGTAAGTGGGGAAAACCTGCGAAATCGGCAGTGTATCAAATACTTGTTCTCCCCACTGTAAATAGCTCTACACACCCACCTGTATAGATATATTGCAGGATGGCTCCAAAGGCTGCAGGGTTTACCTGAAAACCAAAACCACTTTTATCCATACAGACAGGAAGAGACAAAGCTGACAGCACACCGCAACAGAATGAATCAACCAGAATATATATGTTTATCTACCAAAGGATGCTTTAGGGTGATCAGGTTCTTCCCTTTCCATTTTTTCTCAAACATATCCATGAAGTACTCGGAGCGTGCACTCAGAACACATCGGTGGGCCATGAATATTTGTCCATGGACCAAAAACTTGACATCGCTGTGTTGACCCTGCTCCAGTAACCTAAAGCAGAAACATCAAACGTTAGATGGAGGTAAAATAGTAAAGATTTTATACTGTACGATACATTTTCCTGTTTCTTGGCACTGTAAACTACTAGAACAGCTGAGGAGAATAAACTGCTCTTTCTCCTGCTCTGTAGAGGAATGAATGTGCATGAATGGCAAACACGCACTTGACCCTTACATGTGCAGAAAGTAGTTAAAATCATCCCGCTGCATGGCGCGGACACCAACGCACTTATAATCTTTGAGCAGCCGTCGTACGGAGTCATTCAGGGAGCCGTACATACACCTCTCGCCATCAAACGTGTTGGCTTCACACTTAGCACCTGAAGGAAAAGATAAGGGGGGAAAAAGAACTATGATTACAGAACATTTCAGTGTGATTACATTGATGTCAAACTATAGTAGTTTTACCATGCAGACTTTCATTATGTTTGCATTACTTAATAAAGGCTAACCCTAACCCCAGTGAAATTCCAGCCTTACCACTAGCCAACAGGTACTGGACCAGCTCTTCATGGCCACAGAGACAAGCGTAATACCTGTAGAAATAAAGTGTACATACATCACATTTTAAGATATGATAATAATGATGATGCCATGTGAACAGGGGCATTAGACTGCTTGCCCGAATTGTACTTACAAAGGGGTGCTGTCCCATTTATCTCTTACATTGAGGTCCACATCCCTTTGTTCAACAAGGTATCTTAGAGAGAAAAGAGAAGAAACGAGTGGACACAGTGATACTGAGTGTACTGAAGTCTACGATATGTAAATATATCTGAATGTAAGATGGATAAAAAACACAAATTAAACATTGGGATTATTTCACATACAAGCATCACTTCTGTTAGACTGTTTTCTGCTTTCATCAGCACTGCTGTAACAATGTATTTTATGAAAACTACAGTCATGCAAACACTGATCTATCTATATTCATATAACATATATAGGAGATATCCTGCAGTGCTGGAGTCAACTGGGTGGTTAAAGACTAGTTAAGACTTGTATTGTCTTGACTAAGTACTTCTCTCTTGTTATCAGCAGGAGAGAGGGAGTGTCTTACATCAGTAAAACAAAAATCTAAAGGCTGCATAGCTGACAGCAGCATATATTCTCCACATATCATCCTGTTATACACCTGACACTGACACTACGTTGCATCTGGAAAACTGAGCATCTGACCTACAAACGCTAGCTAAAGTTACCAGCTGGCTCATCAAAGCTAATGTTAGCAACCCTCTCCGTGTTTACCACCGCCACACACTGCAGTTAGCTCCGAGCTTTAGCTGCAGGGCGACAGCTAAATAACACTGTACAGAGGAGCACACACAATAACAACAAGCAGCTTTTTTTTTTTTACTGCAGAAGCAAAAGAGAGACAACCAAGCCAAAAAAACAACAACAAAAAAAACAACAACAACAATGTCAGCTGAGCCGCTGCTTACCTGACTCTACAAATGTCGCCCTTTCTGCAACTACTAAACAAATCGTACACATCCATGGTCGCCGCGGTGTTTTCGGTCCTCTGTAATGCATTGAGACGGCCTGTCTACTGGACAGGTGGAGCTTGTTCACAGGTGACTCGGTCGCCGCTGAGAAAGTTTTGCTGGCTGGCTGCTTGACACCTTCTTGCACGGTGTTGTTTACAAATCGAGTCCTGGGTTGTTTAGATTAGGGCGAATGGGGTCTGGCCGTCACGTGACGAGTGTCTGCTTCACTTGGTTGTAGAGAATGGCGGAAAAGTGACGACGGCTCGCAAGACGGCGGACGTTTGTTATTATTAAACAGAGAAAAAGTTATATACTGTCTTATTTGTTATTATTTTTTTTACATGACTTGAATAACAACAGCCTTAAACCAATTTTACAAGTCAAATTTGTTGTCGTTTTGACTGCATGTAACTTAACAAGAGCTGCCACTCATGCTAACGCCTATTAAACTCTAAAAATCGGACTTCACTTGAATGCAGCACACGTCATTCTATCAATCATGTTTGTTTACTACAATAAAACTGCATCAAAAATCATCTCCCAGTGCTGTGGATGTTACTTTTTCTGTTGTTTTTATCGAAATGTTTTTTTAATCAGAATATTAAGATGTGATGCAGACCAGAGATATTATAGTTTATATTTATTTATTTTTTTTATTTTTCAACTGAGTTTAGTTTCAAGTGTTTTTTTTTTTTGTGTGTGTCAGGGTAGTTTTTATTTACCTACCCTTATTTATTTATTTATTTTTGGTTTAAATATAGTTCTTATTATTAGTTTCAGTGTTTGTGTTAGCTTTCTTCAATTATACTATGAGGGATATTTGTCAGCAGCAAGATTTAAGAAATTCAGAATAGATATTACGACACAAACACACCCATTGTAAAGAGCAGTTGACTTACAGTCATGTAGACATCCCAGTCTCAGTAATGCACCAGTGCCTCCTCATGCTGCTTTTGTGTTGACAAATTTGACCAAAGACTAAAACTGAAGACATTTCCTGTATATTTTAAGTTTTTTTCTAAAGTCTAGCTTTTATTTTTATTTCACCAATAGCCTAGATAACCTGCCCCAGGTTGTTCCTCTCACTGGGGCCAGACAAATCCTTATACAGCCTGAAAGCCACAATGCTGTTTCACATCAGTACTATTTACCTCATTAAACAATGAAAGGGCAACTTATGTGTATAAAAGCATTCATATATATATACGCATATTGCATATTTATTAATATAAATAAAAAATTGTCATACAACAATAGTGCAATGAAAAGATAGTGTTTGAGATCTTTTAATCATTTGTTCAGTTTGAGTGTGGAAAGCCGCTGTTTTAATAAGGAGATCTGAAGTTGGAGTTTTTCTTGCTCCAGCAGGAGGTTTTCCTTCTGCAGGGACAACAGATCCACTTGCAAACTCTCTGTGAGTAGAAAAACACACAGAAAAACATGTAATTAGTAGTGTAACAAACATAGTATGTAATAACTGTCACTGGAAATAATTCTTACTCACATACGTGTATTTTTAATTCAACTTCTAAAAGGGGAAAACACGCTGTGATCCAACCATCATTCAGATTTGTGACATGTTCCAATGTTTTTCTTTAATAATTAGCAGTAAAAGCACCCATAATGCCATGGTATGGCAAATTATTTTCTATTTTTCTTACCGTATCAACACAGTAAGAAAAAATATAGACTGTCATAAGACCTAACCTTTAAGCCCCATAATGCAAAAAATTTAGTAATTGTCACCACAGAGGTAGCATTAGTCAATCACAAAAGTGGAAATTTCAAATAGTTTAAATAATGTGCTTTAAAAAAAAAAGGGTCTGTGACAAGAAACACGGCCAAATTCCAAGCTAATGAAAGCTTCAGTTCAGCTTTTGTCTCAAATACTTCACTCCCTATTCTATCGGCGACAGGACATACAGTAAATTACCGTTTTTCTCTTCGCCTGTGACAGCTCTGTTAACTGATGATCTCTGTCTTTGGTGGCTGTTTGCCATCCAGAATGGAAGAGCGCTGCGTAATTCTAGCTCGACAGGGTAGTGGTCGCTCACTCTCAGGGCCTGCGGGAGGGTGTATATACTGAATGAGGAATGTTCTCACAAAACAAGACAGTGAAAGAGCCATACAATTGCACAACATGATGGTTAGTAGGGACAACTCACCATTTCTTCTGTCATAGAAAACTCCTTGTGGAAATTGAATGGCTTGGCTGAGTTTGGCACAATGGCTGCCAGCATGTCGTCTCCGTAAACCACAATCCTGTGAGAGAAATATATGAATTCATTCACATATAATGACAATATGTGGAAGTGCCTGAATGGAGTTTATGAATGCACACATGCCGGTCGTAAGTGTGTTCATTCGACGTATTTGCGGTGGTGTCCACGTCATCACCGATCAGCCAGTGGAAATTCTTGTCGCTGCGAATACGGATCCCATTCATTTCTTTCTGGGTGAGATACGCACCATCCGCATTGAAATCCCCCAGGATTATTACATTCTAGAGGAAATCAAAAATGGTCCTTTTAGTACTAATAATAGTTCCTATATCCTTTAGCTTGGATATTGGAATACAGAGAAATCCTATCAAAAGTAGCCATGTTACAACATTGTAAAATGATCATTTATAAGCTATATAAGTGGTGTGATTCTTCTGATATGGAAGTATAAAATTAAACTGTATGTGGTCATAAATCGAGTTATGATGTATATCACAAACAGGTAAACTACTGATGCAACAGGATGATGCAACCCACATCAGTTTTCCATTTGTCTTTGACCATCAGGAAGACCTCATACAGCTCATCCAGCTCTTTCTCCGAGTCCCAGGGTGTGGTGCGGACCGGGATGAGCACTATATCCTTCAGCACTACAAACAAAAACAGTCCCGTCAACAACAAATGCTTGTATCCATGGGGATGCATACAAAACTAACTTAACTGGATAAACCTGTCCTCAGCTCCTTTGAATCACATTGTCAGACCAGATCAGACTCAGTTAGTTAGACAAAACAAGCAGGTACATATATAGACATGAGTCAGACATGCCATAAAAGTTACAGCGACAACATCTACAGCAACCGACTAAGAATGAGATAAAAAAAACACGCTAATATTCATAACTGCCTGTAAACAGGCAGGTCAGGTGCTGGTAGGTCGCAGGACCAAGAAATCAGAATTAACAACCGTACACTGGAGTGACTTTACTGTGATTTATTTAAGAGCACACAATGCGTTTCGCTCGTAGCTTTCTCAGGTTAAAACAATCACAATAAAGTCACTCCAGTGTGCGGTGGTCAATTCTGATCCATAACTCCCTGTTATTCCTTAAGATCCAATTAAGTGTGGAGACTGACCTGTGTTGTGTGGTTTGAAGTGGAGGATATACGGCTCCCTTGCAAAAGCATCCATGTCGTTCACCTGGTTGTCTTCATATTGATAGCAGTCAATCAGGTCGACAACATCATCCCTTCAAAGTAGGAAAAAAAAAAAGGCTTTTCAGTGCAGCTTTGATGAGCACATTATAAAAATATGACAGTCTGCATTATGATGTGATCTTACCTGTACAAAAACAAAAATTGTTCCTTGTATCTGTTCCTTCCTAGGCGGGTACTGAGCTGTAGAGCGTAGTGATGTGTTGTGTTGACTCTGAGATGGCGTAGGACAGTAAAAGTAAGCATACATGTAAAATAAAGGCAACGATCTTTGCTTCATTCAGAAATAAGAAATGTAAACTCACGTGTTCAGTTCTTTGATGAAAAGTTTCACAGAAGCTCCGCTCCCATCCACCACCTCAAGAATCACTATGATGTCGTATCGAGACACAATCTACAAAAGATGTGGAACAATTGAAAAGAAAGGAAAACTATTAGTCTTTTAGGTTATCCCTGGCATTCAGGCTTATATTTCTCCTTTGAACTGGTTACAGCTTAAAGAAGGCTATAATTACCCAGGTATGAACAAAGAACACACACTTTAGATCTCTCCTCTTGGCTGTTTCCCAAATATCACACCAAAGACATGGACCATGGATTCCCAATAATCTACCCTTGTTATTATTACTGGTCTTTTACTGTGTAATGTCTTTGTTTATGTAACCACCTGATGCTTTACTGCTGTTTTACCTTAACCAGAGCTGCCAGGACATCTGGATCGGAGAGTTTTGTGATTCCAAACCTCTGGACGTTGAACGAAGCAATCTTCATATCCGACTAGAGCTAAAACAGACCTTTAAAATCATAAAATGATTCAGTATTTCTTGAAATATACACAACACAGACACACAGTTGCAGCTGTTTTCTCTCTCAGTTTACTTACCTACAATAATGTATTGACGTTGTGTAGATGGCACAGCTTCAGTGGCACACAGCCTTGACAAGAATAAACCTCAATCAGGTTGTACGAGAGACTTATTTCTCTGTAGTTGTTTTTCTAAAGGGAGGTGATGATTGCATAATCACTGCCAAAAGGGAGTGAGGGAGTTTGAAAAGAAAGAAAAGACTGTTTGACATCAAGGAGACGGCCCGTTTTTTTTGTTTACAACCAGCTGTCACTTACAGTGAATACTTACATGACACATTAAACAGAAAGTTGAAGAAAATAAGTAATGTTATAGCAGTATAACAATATGTCTATAGCTACAATTCCAAGATTTTTGTTTTTTTGGGGGGTCTTTTATTGGAGGTGGGGGGACAGGTCAGACAGCTCGGACCCTGGGCTACTACAGCAAGGACTCAGCCTTAGTACATGGACACTAACTCTACCAGGTGAGCTATCCGGGCGTCCCAAATTCGAACATTTTGATTCAATCTCCTTTTCTCTCTGATCTTAACTGTTCCTAACTTGATCCTAACAGGCAGGAAAACGACAAAAACAACAACGTTATAACATTCTTCCCAAAAACCAGTATATCTTACCTGGTTTTATAATATTTTGGCACATTCTCTAGGCAACCTACATGTTGTGTGCAGTACATTATTGTCACTTTTTGTGAACTTGTTTCAACC